ATAAATTAACAATTATTTATACTATAAACTTGTGTGTAACTAGTTTTGTATTAAATATGAATTAAATTTTAAATTATAGAATGATTTACTTTATATGAATTTTATTTATTTTTGTCATAAATTTATATTATTACATAATTATTATATCTAATAAATGTCATTTAAATAATCTTAATATTTACGTCATCCTAAGTTCAATTCTAATTGAATCATTGAACTTTGAACCTCACATTTTTCCGATTCTATGTATATTTATATAATTTGAACCATATAATTTCTTATTGACTTTCTCAATTATAGCAAATCAACTTCCCCACTTATATGAGATCAAAGTGATGCAGTTATTTTTAGGAACTGGTGCAAACTTGTTTCCCATTATATGCTTCTTATCAAATAAATATTTATGTTTGGTTTTAAGCCTTTTTATTTATTTTCAAATTAATTAAATACAATCCCTTCTTACTTCTCTATTCAAAAAACAAGTTTATTGATATATATTTATGTTATATGATTGTAAAAAAAGCTTCTATGTGACTATTTTATTATCTTTTTTAATTAATACTTATTCAATTAGTATAAAGTAGTTAGATACTAAATCCAGATTTTTTTGAATTGCTTGCTCGTTTAAACTTTTACAATGATTTATTAATATAAGAAAAACATGAGAATGGCTAAACATTAAGAAAATGTCAAGCATGCACTTGATCTAAGTTTGTAGAATATTTCTACTCCCTTAATTTCGGGTGTCACAAGAAAATAGGATCAATTTTTTTTAGCTCAGAGGGATCTTGGATTGATATCATTTGGTTAGTAATAGCTCCGATAGAGCTTGAATTGAGTTGGGCCTAGACCAAATTACGCTAGTTTAAGAATCCATCAAAATTTGCATGCATGCAAGTATAAATGCAGCTATAGCCTTATGCTATATTTGTACCTATGCATATATGCATTTAGACTTATTCATGATGTTCGCTCAGGAAAATGATGCTATGGCACGAACCTCGCTTTCTCAACCTTTAGGTCCCATATTTGTTTAGTTAGATTGGATTTTAAATTAATTAGATTTTCTCGGATGATTGTATCAGGGTTTATTTAGCTCTGGGTTCCTGCTTCCTATGAGCGCAAGCCTCATAGTTAATTACTCCTCATAATGCGTAGAAGAGAACTCTCGATTAAAGATGAATCAATATTTAGACATGTAATAATTTTAAATTTGATTGTAGGGGGATGAAGGTAAACCTGATCAAGATCTCAATATTCCGTCATTCAGGGAATACCGTAGGTTTTAGTCTACTAACACTAACAATCATTGATCATAGTGTACATGGAATCTGATTAGTAACCATGAGTTACCTCCACTCAAGGATCCCAAATAAGCCACCACCAAAAGACATAAATGGGTACTCAAGTATTTTTAATTATTGTAATGATTTTGTTCTCTCTTAATTTAAATGAATCGAAAAACAATGATAATTGCTTATTAAGTTTTTATTGCAAGCAAATTCATGAATTATATTTCTGATATCCACTGATTGGTCATTTTGCATTAGATGAAAATTAATATGTTGTTCTACATTTTTATAGAAAATTAATTAATGTTATATGAATGAAATGACGAGATAGATATGCTTGCATGTGTATAATTAATTGATGGAGCACACTCCCTTATGATGTCTGTTTTGAATGCAATGTATCTGTGCACGTAAATGAAAAAGAAAATAAAAAATGAGTTCCTTCATTGTACTATTTTAAACATTGCCTCTTGTGTTGGTTGTACTATTTATACAATAAATAAATATATGATATGCATATCATTGATGGTTGGAGGGGTCATAATCAGTGGGCGATAAAAATCAGAGGGACCATAGTTGGTGTACGCCAAAGGTCAAAGGGTCCGTAATCAACGGGCTATGGAGGTTGAAGGGAACATAGGCAGCAGACGACATCGTCGGAGGGACTGTTGTCAGCGAGCGAAGGTGGTCAGAGGGACCATAGTCAGTGAGCGACGAGGTTTGAAGGGACAGTAGTCGATGGCAATAAATGTCGAAGATATTGTAGTCAGCGGGCAATGGTTGTTGATGGGACTATAGTTGGTGAGCGAAGGTGGTCATATGTGTAATGCCTTAAGAGCTATCTATTTCTCTTTTATCAATATGATATCAACTAAAACAAAATTAATAATCAAAACATTAAAATACGTCCATATTCTTATTCTAAATGCATATATAATATTCAGAATCATATAATATATTATTATCAGTCTTGAATACAAAAGAATAACTAAAAGATAAAAAGAAATAAATTAACAGTAACATGAAGAATCATGATATGATCATTCTTATACACCTGATCCTTTTCTCTGACCTGGAATCATTTAACCATATATAATGAGTTAAAAAGCTCAACAAATCCATCCAATCCTACAACTAACATGAAGCATGATAAAGAAGTAGTATGTATGTCATCTATCAGTTCAAAATAGTAGTAGTCATATAATCATAAATCAATGTAGAAATAGTAAAATGTATATGCATAAACATTAAAGTCGGTAGCCAGTAAAATAATATAGCACAAAAGCCAGTAAAGCAATATGATGGGAAAACCAGTAAATCATTACATGTGTTGAATTGATAAAGTAGTCGTCGTATCAGCATTATTAATCGTAAAGAAATCATATAAAGCGGTAAAAGCAAAGTATTAGTAAAGACTTTCGGAATCATATCAATTCAATAAAATCCTATAATGAGGTGTGCATGCTATCCAATTATTCGATTTCAATTTCAAATTAATATCTTAATCACATGTTTTGTATATCACATGCTTAGTATGTCACATGCTTAGTATTAATATAATATCATCAATAAAACCAGTGGCAATAACAATAAACAAATATAATAATAATAAATTCATATAGTAACAGTAAATAAGTAAATAATAACAATAAAAAGTAAATGAATCAAAAGCATACATTTTAATAGTTTTACTAAACAAGTAAGTACTCCTAATGTAAGCGGTGTTTTTCCAATAAGTAATAACCTGTATCAGTATCTTGTTGGCTCAATAAATAGAGTTATCACTCTTTTCCCGTCGGCACAATAATAACTCATTAAAACTCTCAATCAATTTCATGTGGATTAGTAAAGGAAAATACCAAACCACAATATTTAAACGAAAGCCTGTCGACCCACTATATTATACAAGTTAGTCAGTCTCTAGCCAACATCAAGATAATAATTTATTAAAAATCAAAATATCATAATTTTTGCCAGTTTTGACCAAATTAAAATACGTAAAATAAAAAATACATAAAAATCATTGAAATCATAAGTAGGAAAATGATTCTTTACAACGAGATGAACAAATATTTCAACAAAATTGACAGACGTAAATCGCTCTATAGCCTCCAAATATTAACTTCTATTTTCCCTGCTCACTTTGCTCTCTAATTTCTTCTTAATCTGTTTGCCGATGGAATAGGGAGACTAAAAACTTTAATGAATTCTGATGTTGGCTTAAGATATTATAATAATATAAATATAATTATTTAATTTCATTTCTAAACATTTTAATTATTCTTTTTTATTTTAAATTTGAACTCTAAAAATTATATAAAAAAATTCATAAAATAACATATCATATTTAAATTTTTTTTGGTGAAATCAATTTGGATGGACCTAAATTTAATTTTAAAAATTTCCAATTCAAATATGCATCAAGAATCGCACCCGGTCAGGACCATGTTTTGGAGACGTATCGATATTAATATGCCTTATACAGCTACAAAGAAATGCATAATTTATAATATATGACTAATATTAACAAAACATTATCATCAAAGTCAGATCCCATAATTTATTTATTTTGACCTTTCTACATAAAAGACCTAGTGTCTCTTATAAATTGCTCTTATTTTAAGTGTATGAAATTTTCATTTAATGCAAATATAATAAGCTCTCTTTCTAATGCTATAAATATTCTAACAACAAAAAACTCTCAATATTGAATATAGTGAATATAAGTTAACATGGAAAATTATGATACATAAAAAAATTGAATTTAATCATATATTACATAAAATAGGTGAAAAACATATTGATGTAAAAATAAATACTCTCACCAATGAGATTCAACTTTTTTAAATAAAAATTGGGCCAAACAACTAATATATAATGCTGAATGAGTGTTCATTACTGCAAGAAATATCCAGACTACAACTTGCTTTGACCCACTCACACTCAAAATAATCATTTCAAATTATAAAACCACTTTGATTATTATTATCTAATTACAATTCCAAATAATAGGGTTTCATTTTTAGGACAAATTATTCCGGGAAGAACTAGAACCATTCGGACATGTGAGTATACACACTATGTATACAGTGTGTACATAAGTTTGATACACACTATGTACACAGTATGTACACTCACATGTCCGGACAATTCTTCTTGTACGAACTCAGTACGGAATAATTTCTACATTTTAAGGCCTCTACTATTATGCTGATGACTACTTACACACTCATCCCTACACACTGAAATAGCATCATCGTAGTGCAAAATCTCACAAATTCAGAAATAGAAAGAACTTCACTGGAAATCATTTTTGGCTGATAAGTTCAATCATGGAACACTTCTCAAAAACAAAACAAAAAGATTTGAAATGTTAAACCACTTCGATTATTTTTATCTAATTACAGTTCCAAATAAATGCCTTTAACATGGGGTGTCATTTTTAGGATAAATTATTCCGGGAAGAATTGGAAGAATCATCTGGACATATCAGTATAAACACTATGTATACAGTGTGTACATAAGTTTGATACACACTATGTACACAGTATGCACACTCACATGTCCGGATAGTTCTTCCCGTACGGATTATGTACGGAATATTTCTCCATTTTTAAGCCTCTACTATTATGCTGATGACTACTTGCACACTCATCCCTACACATTGAAATAGCATCATCGCAGTGCAAAATCTCACAAATAAAAAAATAGAAAGAACTTCACTGGAAATCATTTTTGGCTGATAAGTTCAATCATAGAACACTTCTCAAAAACAAAAGAAAAAAGATCTGAAATGTAAATAATACAACCGATGGAACTACCAACCTCTTCAAAACCACACTGACATTTCCAGCAACTTGCTACAACATTGAATCTGCAACTACTTTTCCATCTCACTTAATAGCCTCTTGCATTTTAGTGGGAAACATTCTTTGGCGATGAAAGCGTTAAGTCTTGATGTTTTCCTTTCCAACTGACAAATAAATTTTAGGAATTCGAATTCTATTGATATAATGTAGCAAGTTATAAAGTTTGACTTGGATGCAACCACACTAGTTGTTGAGCACATAACTGGGAAAAGAATGAACTTTTCCAACAAAGGAACAATAAGCACTAGCCGGATCTTCTTCCAGATATTTACAAACAAAAATAAATCTATAATCCGGAAAATAACCTTCACTTCTTGAAACAGAAGCAGCAGACATCCTGAAGTAATAACAATAAGGAGATAAAGATCGGATTTCCATTGACAGAAAGCTCAAATAGCATCAAAGATTCTAAAAAATGGAATTCTAATGTGACAAACGTATTTGAATACCAAATTTAAAAGGAAGATTTTTTTTTGCCTTTCTGTATAAAGTACAAGGTTCTAAATTAGTTTAAACTATTGCTTTAGAAAGGGTAAAAAACGTCATCATCATAAGCACAAGTGTTTGAAATATTACACACCTCTTCGCAACAAACTTGCCATCAAGGTCGAGCAAATCAAGGCGATATCAGGTAAAGGCAACAATAATTGGCATTATGAAGGCAAAATTGTGGCTTGGAATGGTGGATCTAGAAAGGTCGATGAAATCGAACACTCTTTATGTGTGAGGGATGTCAAGGCGATGGTTGGAGATCCATCGATTAAAAGAATTAACAGTGGAAACTACAATTTGGAATGACGAATATGAAAGTTTACAAATTTATTGGTGGTGGGTGTTGTGTCAAGAAGAATATATCAACAACTTCGGGTTACGAATCTGTGATGATTTGGAGTTATGGTTTTAACAAGTTTAGGGCGGCGAGATTGATTATGTGATGATAGTTCACAGGATAAAGAATATACTTGGATGTGGGAAGACAGATCTGGTCACTAGATGGAGACAAAATAGGAGATTGGTATCCCATGGGAAATGGGCATTTGGAAGAGGGAGGTGGAGATCTGTGACTGCAACTAGTGGTTTGGTGCTGCCGTGAGCAAAGGTTTGGTGCGAAGCACCTGCATTGAGGCTAGATCAATGAAAGCATCATCACTACGAACACAAATAGAAATTACGCATTAAGCAAATAAATTATTGATAAACAACTTAAAAGCATGCCTACAAATCTAGATAGTGAGGGGGACCAAGGGATTTGGAAGCTATATGATGCCCATAACTCCATATAATTTTGGGAGAGGCTACGCGGGGGAGGGTGATGCTAGCCAAAGCCCCATTTATTCCATATCTTGGTCGTATGCCCCAATTCTTCCTAAGAAAGATTATATATATAATAAAATGAAACCTAATGACCAACTAATAACCTAATAATAATATAATAGTCATAAAATAAATCTAACAGACATAATTAACTATCACCCATTTATATTTATTCCTAACAATAGCCTAACCTTAGTGAGTACTGAGGCTATATCTCCAATAAGTTCGTATGAGTTAAGTGCATGAAAGAATACAACAACAACAACATCAAGCCTTTGTCCCACTACGTGGGGTCGGCTACATGAATCCTTTTTCGCCATTGTGTCCGATTAAAAGTCAAATTCTCATTTAAATCTAATAAAGAAAAATCATTTCTAATATTTTCTAACCAAGTCTTTTTAGGTCTACCTCTACATTTCTTAAAATAACTCAAATCTAATACCTCAACTTTCCTAACCGGGTCATTAGAAGGCCTCCGTTTAATGTGACCAAACCATCTAAGGCGACTTTCTATAATCTTATCTTCCACTGGAGCTACTCCAACCTTTTCACGTATATGCTCATTTTGTATCCTATCTCTAAGGGTCAAGCCACTCATCCACCTAAGCATCCTAATCTCTGCAACACTTAGTATTATTGATGTAAAACTATCAAGAATTGCACGTGAAATTTATAACGAATCACAAAGTATACTAGTGTAAGATTAGAATATCGTAAGTTAAGGTTCAAGAGTTTTTCATTGTTAAAATGTTATGATAAGCGATTACAAACTAGTTGTTTGAACACAATTAGCGATAGATCTCGAAATTATTTCAATAAAGCAAATGCGGAATAAAATAGAATCCCACGACTAATATTTAGAAATTTCGCAATGAGTTACCTTGCTCACTCACGCTCAAGTAGGGCTTAGCGGGAGAAGGTCTTTAGCAAACTCAACGATGCCACGAGGACGGCGGCAACCCCAACGGTCTTGAACCACGGAAAGGTTGACGGTGGCGAGGATGGCGGGAATGATCGGCTGTTGATGCTCCAATCGTAGTTTCGAAGTTGGCGGTCAATGACGCTAGCAAGGGTCGAAAAATTCGCTCCAAGTACTCTCCAACGGTGGCGTCGTCTTCAAACCCCACGTCAAAAAACGGAGATCGTAGAATGTTGAGGCTTCCGTCGGCGTTGAATACAAGGCCCCGCTCAAACTTGGGATCCGCCATGCATGCTTGGCGTAAGAAAGAATTCTGAGGAGAATAGGAAGTCGTGATGGTGAGGGAGGGCCCTTGTTTGAAAGAGGATGAAAAGGAAGGAGGAGCCGGCGGGATTTCCAAGGGGAAGGGGGGAGTTCAGCCAAGGAAAGAGAGAGGGGCGGGTGAAATGAGAGAGGGGATTTAGGTTAGATGAGTGTAGCAAGAGAACTACTCAAATATGAAATTAATCTCATTGGAGGGAATTATTTGAGAATAATATCAAATTTCAAATGTAATTAAGGGGGAGTAATGAGCATTTAATGGAACCCATCAATAGGGGGGCCGGCGGGTTCACTAGAGGAGGGAGAGGGGGTTTCAATTCAAAACCTGAAATTAATTTCAGGATTTTAAGTGAAAAGAGAGGAAAATTAATTTGAAATTTGATTTCAAATTAAGGAGACATTAATGAATTAATTGGGGCATTAAAGAAGCAATCAAATGGGGGAGAAAACCCACATGGGGCCAGCGGCAAGGTGAGAGAGGGAGAGGGAGATTAGTGGGATGAGGCTTCCAATTTGGATTGATGACGTGACACTATAATTAAAGACTCCAATTTAAAGAATTTGAAATTGGAATTTGTCATGAAAACTTTCCAAATTTGGAATTCCGAATTAGGAAAGAATTTGAAATTTGAAATTCAAATTTCAAATTTGAAAATTTCGGATGGATGGTTGGGTGGTGGGTGGGAAAGGAAGTTGCCGGCAAGGAGGCCGGCCGGTGCCGTGAGGTGGTGGGCGGCGGGAGGCGACAACAAAGAATTTGGATGAATATTCTTGTGGTGGGGGGGGGGGAGTGGTTGGAGGAAGCACGAACGAGAAGATGGGGTAACTTAACCACGAGCCGCGGACTCTTCCAACGACTGGTGGGCCTTGCGATTTGCTCACCTTGAGCTCTCTCCCTTCTCAAGCTCTCGTGCAAGAAGAAGTAGAAAGAAAACACAAATTTCATTCAAATATTCATTACCCTCTTACAAAACATGAGACCACTATATATAGGTCTCCAAACATAAAGAAATAAAAGTACTCAAATGCCCTTTGGGCTATAATAAGACAACACTCCCCATAGGGGTAAACTAGGAAATGAAAATGCAAACTAAATAAAACACAAAATACATCAAAAGTAAAGACTCTGAATCGTAGCCGTCGATCTGCGCTGTCTCCGGCGATACACATGCTTGAACCTTTGATCGATGTCCACATCAATTATGCTTCTCTTTTAATGGCCAACATTCGGCACCATAAAACATTGCATGTCTCACCATCATCTTATAGAATTTTCCCTTAAGTTTGAGGAGGATTTTTCTATCGCACAATAAGCCCGATGCATTCCTCCACTTCAACCATCCAACTTGAATTCCCTTAAGTGCATGAAAGAATCTCAACAAAAAAAAAATGCATGCAAACTTTGGTAGACACATTGGATGAGAATACAAAAGTCAAAGGTAGATGAAGCACCCATGATGAATTGAAGGGAGTCGACAACAAGGCATTTGATTGTACCCCATGATGAATTGAAAAGAGTCAACAACAAGGCATTTGATTGTACCCCGACTTATGAGAATGATATGTCCTTACTAACTTTATGCAATGATTTGCAATTGGTAGCCAATCTTCATGCGAACACCAAGTAACATAGAATGAAGGAGAAGCCCATATGAATAACAAGAGATGATAATGATCTCACGTGGACTCCACTCTCCATTTCAAAATGCAGTATTCTTTCTGTACTTCATTTTACACCTTTAGTTTTTTCTCTTTCTCTTTTTAAGGCATTATATGAGACTTAAGAACTCTTGTTCTACTATTCAAACTAATATTTCTTGAAGGTACGCATTAAAAACTCATGAGTTTAACTTTTTAAAATGGGTTACTACTTTTTAATAGTGTTTAATTGTTAATGCTTGACTTAAAATTTCATACAACATTTCAATTACATTTGTATGAAAATTATTGAATACTGCAATAATATGTAATTTTCCTTATGATATATATGCTTCAATTAATGAAAAAATGTGGTTCATGCTTCAAAGTGAAAATATCCCTTTTGTGCATTGCGTTGCACTTTACATGTTGACAACCTTGACCAAGACATACATATTTAAGAACGCATCATCATAAGCGCAAGTGTTTGAAAGCTAAAAGCAATATAATTTACTAAGGGCTCTCCTAACAGAGAGGGGTAATTAAAGATTGGATGTTAATGACCATAGAAAATATATTATCAAATATAAATAAATCTCAGCGTCTAGGTAAATTATGGTTATATCAAAATTCCCCATATTTTCTCCTCAAGACACAACAAGAGAGCAATTTTCCTGTGGGAAGAAAAAAATTTATAAGGTTCAATCTCAACTGAAAGTTAAGAGTCAAGCTACGGATCTACTTCAGTTCTGAACCCCGATAAAAAATAACGAAGACAAACCCAGTCTGTCTCATGGTTTAAACTATTAATGTCAGAATGCTGGTGGACCAATTGGGGTGGTGTTGATTGACAATAGGGCTACCTATAATTTCATCTCCAAACAGGTCATGGACCAATTGGGGTGACATTCGTGAATACATGGTGTTATGGAGTAATGATGGGTTTATGGAAGGTAGCGACGGGTCCGGGGATATATAGGGGAGAAGTGTTGGCCATGCAGGGGATTCAGATGAGGGATGATTTTCTCTCATTGGAGTTAGGGAGCACTGATGACATCCAGGCTACAGACCTTGGGGGACACCAACGTCAACTGGGAAGCATTAATGATGGAGCTGATGGTGGAAAAGAGAAGGGTAGTGATCAG